CACAGGCTACGGGGCCCGCCGAGACCCACGTGCACAGGCTACGGGAGCCCGGCTAGATCCATGTGCACGGGCGCAGGCTACGGGGCCCGGCGAGACCCACGTGCACAGGCTGAGGGGGGCCTGGCGAGACCCACGTGCGCGGGTGCAGGCTACAGGGGCCCGGCGAGACCCACGTGCTCTTATCCGGGCGTCCGCTCTCGTGGGCAGTATGCGATGTGAACCTCACAGAACACCTGGCCTGAATCGTCATGGCCCCGCTCGCCGGCTTGTGCGAAGACACGAAACCTGCCGACCCAAGCACACGGCATCGTGGCATGCCACCATTCTGCTGGCCGAAGCAGGTGCCACCGGCATGTGCTCGTGCCTGCATCCACAGAATTCCGTTGTGATCATCAAACCGGCTGTCGGTCCGCTAGCAATTGCGCAAGCTGTGGGAATCCATCCGCCTGCTGCCGGACCTGTCAGGAATCCACCCGCCTGCCGCTGAACCTATCAGGAATCCGCCTGCCTGCTGTCGGGCCTGTCAGGAATCCACCCGCTTGCTGCCGGACCTGTCAGGAATCCACCCGCCTGCTGCCGGACCTTTCAGGAATCCACCCGCCTGCTGCTGAACCTATCAGGAATTCGCCTGCCTGCTGTCGGGCCTGTCAGGAATCCACCCGCCTGCTGCCGGACCTGTCAGGAATCCACCCGCCTGCTGCTGGGCCTGTCGCGAGCCGCATTATATAGCATATGGAGCTTTGACAATGGACGGGGCTTTGTGTCCCTTTGAAACAGCCGCTGGCTGAATCCAGGCCCTTCAGTATATTACTTTAATGACTGAAAACTATTGAAAAGCAAGCCCCCGCACACATGCCACAAATCCAACCGCATGACAACCAACCAATTTTGATATTGACTTTCACGAATGATCTATATGAGACTCCGCTTATGACTACAGTGATGGCAGTGAACGTTGCAGTGACCACAATGCAGCGGCCTGAGCCATGCTGATGACCAGCTAATGACACAGCCCAATGGCAGCCAGGCTGAGGTCCCGTGTCCCGCTCCACACGAGAGACTGTGGCCTCCGGCCGTGATGACGTGCGCCCGCGCTAAGGCGCATGGCTCTCTTCAGTCAGCTTGGAACGAACGTAAACAATCTCAGTCTATTCAGCATGGTAAGTGCAAAAGCATGTTATTGTGTCGAGATATTGGGCTGAAATATTTATGATCGCTGGCATTGGTGAGCAATTATTTCAAAACAGCGCACGTTTGTCTACCTAAAGCAACTAAAACAACCTCTTTGCTACAAAAAATGTCACATCGGCTTCTGCGAAAGCACGTACCGCACATAGCACGATTTCTAAAAGATTTTGACATGGCGAAAAGTTTCGTGCAGCGCATGTTTATGAAAACGGCTATTATCTCCTCTCCTTTTTCGCATTACATGTGCGCCATATAACCAACGCTGTCGACGGGTCCTTAAGATCAAATCATCATTTATCTCCGTTTATTTGCTCACCTCGACACCACGTCTGTCGCCCCTCGGCTGAGATAACAAATACGGGCGGGGCTATCGTAGCTGGACTTCTATCCTGCGTGATATATATAGCTGAATATATATATATATATATATATATATATATATATATATATATATATATATATAGCTGGACTTCTATCATTGCGTGGAGAAGTCCAGCTACTATCGCAGCTGGACTTCTCCACGCAATGAGACGACCTTCCGACCGACGAGATCTGTACTTGATTCCTACCTCTCCCCGGCGTTTCACAATTCAGACGCGTCGATGCAGACATCTTTTCAACGTCGATGTTCACCATGCCAGAGCTCGCGCTGCTGCCAATGTGACCCTGGACCTTTGACCCTACGCCGGGTCTCTCGTGTTTCCTGTCATGAGCCGCGCGTCCGGCGCACGGTGACGCTACTTGACAGATTCCGTTCTCCGTTCCGTCTCCGTTCCGCAGCAAGGCGTAAACGTTTAGCTTGGGATGTCACGCGTCGGCCGGCGTGCTCGTGTCGCGTTGCGTGCGAGCGCGGGCGCCTGAGAGGTGAAGTGGCAGCGTGGCAGCTGTCCTGTGGTGACGTCATTCCTTGTGCCGTTCTCAATCGACGCTCGCCAGGCGAGTGTCATTACCGCGGCCGTCGATGTCGTGGTAGGCCCGTTGAGAACCGGGACGATACGGTTGATGGTTCTCATTTTACTCTCTTCGACTGATATCCCAATGGAATTCTCCCATGCAGTGCCTGTCTTCCAGCCGATGTCCCATGAAAACATTAGCTTCGCGCCATGCCAATCATGCCAAACGTGGCACCTAGAAGTGTTTCCTGATTTAGGCAGTGAAATATTTAGCTAGCACACGGTTCGGGTGATTTCATTTCACCTGCTTGAGTCTCATTCTCTATGTTGCAGATTCGGCAGAAAGAAGCCCATCTTTTACTTTCTGATTGGAGCTGGGATATTCATCATTCTCTCCGTCACCTGTCCGTATAAGACCCGTAAGTACTGCCTCCTGTTCCATCGCGGTCCATATATGACCCGTAAGTACTGCCTCCCGTCCCATCACGGTCCTGTCTTGTTCCAAACCGGACGGGGCATACCAGTAACCCTCGGCTTTACGTCCCCTGTGAAGATATGCATCTTGAAGGCTTGAAATCCTCGATGCAGGTTTGCGCGGCAGGGGACAGCACACCCAAGGCTTTAAAAAGGCTATCGCAGGAAGAGAGGAGATAAGTTGGACGTTTAAACCCGTACAGGCCGTCCGCCAAGCTGGGCGCGCGAAATACACGGGACGGGGCTTCCGGCAGAGCGGGGTCTTGTGCCTCTCCGTGCCATGCACGACTCCCGGGGAGCAGGTGTGCAAGCGCCAAGACGCTTCGTCGGCTCCGAGTCACCTACATCTCGAGCCGCCGCTAATGCGGCGTGACGTGACGTGACGCGGTGTAACGTGAAGAGGCGTGACGCGACGTGACGTGACGTATTATGACGTGACGTAACCCGGCGTGACCCAGCGTGACGTGACGTGACGTGGCGTGACCAGGCGTGTCGTGACGTGGCGTGACCAGGCGTGTCGTGACGTGACTTGGCGTGACGTGACGTAACGTGGTGTGGCATGACCAGGCGTGACGTGACGTGACGTGGCCCTTGAAGCGTGGCTGATGGGCGCCGGTCTGGTCCGGGGCTGCCCTCCACAGAGAGGCACACTGGGGCGCGCGGTCACACGTGGCGTTGGCGGCTGCCGTTCGGGAGAGCGAGGCGCCCCGCGCGAGGTCACCAGCCGTCAGTGCCAAGTCCCCCACCGTCAGACGCACAGCTCGCGTGTCCATTTTTGCTTTGCTTCGTGCAACGTACGCGTTGGTACTGCGGTGGTTATATTGGCTGCTTTGAAATGATTTCCGTCAATGTACGCCACCGTCTCCGTGACTTGCGTCGCTGTGAGACTGTCACTTTGCAAAGATTGCAGCACCGCTGTTGCACAAGAAATGCCCACTACCGTGGGATTTGTGCTATCATGTGAACATATGCGTTACTGTGAGATTCCTTGACTGAGTGTTCTCTGCTGTGACTTATAGTGCGATGTAGCCGCTTTTGCAACATACGCACCATGCAATCCATCAGCGTGACAGTGCGTGACGCTGAACCCCACCACCGTACCCCTCCCCCCCCCCCCCCCTCCCCCCCCCCCCCCCCCACCTTCTGACCCAACTGCTGGCTCTCACTGAGATGGAACCACCGGCTCTGGCTATGGTAATCCATAGTTGACCTTGGAGGGCCGGTGGCCTGCCGCCGGTCGCTGGGTGCCTCACCCGCGGCGGGTCGTGGCGCGGCTCGTGTGGCCCATGCCTCCGCCTGACTCCTGTGACGGCTGGTTGTGACGGACAGCACATTGTTTGAAGATGCTGCGGTGGCTCTCCGTCTGGACGATTTATGTGGCACTTGCGGCCGCTGGCGGTGACCGGAGCTGGCTTACGCTGTCAGGAGGCCGGTTCGCGGCATTTGATGACATGACGGCGCCGTGCGCACCGGCCGCCGAAGTGTGCCACCAACCGGTAACCGGTAACCGGTAACCGGTCGCGGCGGGCTGATGCCCGTGGTCACGTGATGCCCCCCCCCCCCCCCCCTCCACGCCGGTGACTGCTGTCGGCGGGCCTTTGCACTGGTCGGTCGCCAGGTGACTGTCTGTTTTAGAAGTTGATGATCGAGACTGGGCTCTTAGAGACCCTGTATATGGTTTGATTTGCTAGCGCTTAGCAGAACATCGTCGTGGTTGGCTGGAAGCGGGCGGAGAGTAGACCGCTACAATGGCTCACGGCATCGTTTCAGCTACGCTGAATACTGGAATTTTCGCGATGTAAGGTCGTGATCAGTGGCACGTAAGCATGTAAGCGTTGGAATGTGATATCGGACAGATATTTCATCAGTAGAGAAGTGCTTGAGCTTGTAGCTCGTTAGGTCCTTGCATAATACCGAGATCTGATAGCGTTTCTTCGGGGTAAATTATGCAAATGGTAAAACCACTTTTTTCTTACACGCCAGGTAAGGATCTCAACCTCTGCGCGATACTTGGACACAGGCGTTATCTTCAAAAGCGATCCTGACCGCTTCTCTTGAATACCGCTTCTTACATCCAGTCAGCAGGATTCCAGCCACTTCTTCGGCTTAGCAGAAGAGATGCATTAGTCAGTCAGCCAGATGGTCAGTCGATGAATTTGTAGAATGGCCAAGCAGTCGACGGCTCCCTAGACACTAGTCGCGACTTGGCTATTACCAGAAATCTGGTATCCCAGCTCCAAATCAGTCACGCTTTTTCTCACTATTTTGTCACGCTGCTGTCGTGTCCTTTAATATTCTACGTATGTGCCTATTGATCTGAATGACCATCTGCTGCGCCTAGCGAGATTTTGACCAAATTTGCATCAGTTGGTGACCACTGATACATCCCCATACATCACACAGCTCACAACTCACCGTCTAGAACGCGTGCCATTTGCACGAGTCGCGCGCTTCCCCAGGCTTTGGATTCACGTTGTATAACCGAAGCTACCAAGTTACGTGTATGCAAGGACCGATGTCATACAGGATTCACATACCTTGCATGCTAATGAGGTCGCTGCCTGGTCGCATCAGCTGATTGGGATTTGGCCTTGGACTGTCCCAAGTCGTATCCGCACATCTACTGACACTCGACGCCTTCGTTCTTTGTTGGCGCAGGAAGCACGTGCCTTGTGACCGCTTCTTGAGTCATCTTGCAAGCGATTCAAGGCGCTGGTCGGGGGCGTCGTTACGTCATAGCCCAGTGGGGGGTGGGGTGGGGGGGGTGGGGGGGGGGGGCGGAGCGCGTATCCCATAATCTCGAGGTTTGATGTGGCGATATATAGCCTATGGCGTCACACGAAAAAAAAATCGACTTTTGATCTCCCAGACACCCTCCGTGATCCCCCCCAACTCCCATCCCACCCAACCTCCACCCAAGCAAAAAATTCTCGCACTGTCCCTGGTGACGTGTTCATTCCATCTCTGTCCCGTTAATCGCCTGGGAATGTGATCCATAGCATTGGGATTGCGAAGAATCCGATATCAGCTAAATGCGCCTAACAGCACCGCACGACAGCTTACCTTCTTTGACGGACCTGGACGTCTTATCCCAAGACACGTACTCAACCGGTACTCAACCCCGGCCTTCGCTCTCAAGTCCGCCGGTTTTGTTTGACTAGTTGCAACGACCTGTTCAACGAGAGCCCACCGACAATATGACATGGTAGCAGGACGGTGTTATACCCCGAGTGCATCTTTTGCACCCCAGGACATGTGAGGTGGATGCACGAATCCGCATGAGCGGCACCGTCTGCAGATATTTGGGGAGAACTGGCGGATTTGCAATGCATCGCCATGCCAACTATCACGATCATGCTCTTTCACACCTATTCTTTGGACTCTGCATCCACCACTGACAGGCAGTGCTCTGCCGAATGCGAATGCGACTTACATTATGCTGGTTGGATATGTAAAGCCGAATAATGGGACGCCCTCGTCATTATGATAATGGGACGTCCTCGTCATTATGATAGTGGGACGTCCTCGTCATTATGATAGAGGGACGTCCTCGCCATTATGATAGTGGGATGTCCTCCTCATTATGACAATGGGACGTCCTCGTCATTATGATAGTGGGACGTCCTCGCCATTATGCAATGCACCGATCTTTTAATCTCAGCTGTCAAGGTCGTCCGCTCGCTAGTTATTGATTCTAAGCTAATTTGCTGGCGTGTCTCCAGGCCCACCGCAGCCTCGCAAACAAAATGAAAACCTATGCATGAAATCTTAGTGTTGCATCAGGATAAAAGCAGCTTGTATTCCAACGGTGTTTATGTCTCCTGAGATATGAAACACGTAAGGCATAAAAGCATAATATCCACATTCGACATTTACACCATTCTCATCCAGCTAAAAACCAGGCCAGCACATACGTAACAGCCTGATGCCGTACTAGTCAAAGCCCCTTCAATCGCTCCCATGGCGGTCGGCTGGAGGCAATGGTCAGCCAGTTTCCGCATGCATGGAAATTGCGCGTTCGCCGCATGAGCCAAGGGTTAAATGCTCAGCTGGTTGCGCATACCAGCTATTCATGGCCGTTGGATATCCCGACGCATGGCTGTGTTGCATGTCATGGGAGTTGTTTCCTTTCATAACCATTAGGAATCCTCCACGTGGACATAGTCCTTGCCAGTATGGAAGGCAGTGGCGCGTGCAAGAGAACAGAAGGGTAACATGAGTGTTTCAGTTTTGGTATAACCTAGTTGGACGGGCTTGTTTCGTAGATTGGGCTTGCCTTAGTGTACACCAAGGTACTGCTGAGACAATCACGACAACAAACCGTACAGGAGCTGAACAGGTCAGGAGTGTTGTCCGACCACAAGCTTAGACTGTCTTCGTCTTTGAAGCATGAACACACCATGTAGCACATTTTACAGCTTTGGTTAACAAGCACGCAATTATTTAGATTCTAGTTCCCAGACACCCGAACAGCATGCATATCACCAAGAACAAGCATGCGTTTTAAAAAGACGGCTTCATCACTAGCCGCTATCAAGCCTGCCGACCTCAGCCCTCGGCAGCGGCTGATGAACTGGTCATCAGGGGAGCAGCTCAGGTCATGACCCCGCTGGGAAGTACCTGGATCGATACCGGCCGCCTCCCGTCCGTCTCGCTCCTCTGACCCTGCTACCCCCGCCCTCCGCCTCATGGTTTCATCAGCCGATGCTGAGAGAAGGACAGAGGCGTGCCTTCGGCTTAATTTTACGGGTTATTTTACTGATAATTTTGCACCTTCGGAGATCTGTGGAAGCATGAAGTTACACTTACCTCCAACGTTCCAAAAGTATCAGGCTCGTCTTGAGACCACGAGCGGGGCCTCGTACAGTAGGACATAAAGACGGGCTGCGACGCCAAGTTTGCGCGACAGTAGCTGGAAATCAGACCAAGTTTCATCCGAAGCATA